TACCTATCAGACGGAAACAAAGATGCCAAGGTAAACAAATCCGCTGTTCCAGAAAAAGAAAAAGGAGACCCCGGTTTTCTATTTACCCTAAAGGCTAACAGAGGGCAGACAGAAGCTTCTCATGATGTATCCCACAAAAATAGGGAAAGACAGAAAAGAAAATGAGGAAATGCCAAGAAGATCGCTCTCAATCACTTTTTCCCAGAAGATTAGTATAAACCCAGCCAATTGAAATGCCATTCATGTTGCGTGAATGGAGAATCGCCTTCTTCAGGGCTCACTCAGTTCTCTAAATCATATCAAAGCTTCAAGGACTTCGAGGACTTCAAGCACTCATCAATAGCTCTCTCTTAGAAAATTCCATGCCGACAATCAGTCCTGCAAACAGAAAAGCAGTTAATAAGTTTTTGAGTCATTAATTTGACAAGAAGACAGGAATTCTTCTCAAAACTTTTTTTATCACTTCTCTTATCATTTATTAATCCCTCAACATCTGAATTCTATCAGCTTTTCCATAATACACATTAAGAACTTGTCATTTGGACTATTTCTTCTGCCAGGACCGCTCTGCTTCAACTATCCTACAAAATCGCATGTTTTTTTTTTTAAGAAAAACCCCGGACAACGCGTCCTTTTGACGTCCATAGGGCATTGTACTTTCTCCTCACCTGATGAATACGGCACAGCTCCCCATACACGGGACTGGTGGAGGTCTCCTTTGCTATAAAACCCTCTTACGGTATCCCTCTGAAAGATACTCTATGCTGTACATGTATACCATACTATATTATACTGTACTAGTAATGCAATGGCAAATGGCGAACTATAACACCGAATCATAAAGGGATCGTATCCCAAATCAAACTCAGTCCAGGAAAACCAAACCTTAAATGTGGCGGAGTACAATAGTTGGTACCAGATTGTCTGGGAGGGTGACAATCATTGTATACTCCACAAAAGCATTCGAAAAAGCACCACCACGATGCTGAATGGAAGCGTAATGCAGGGCGCATTCCGAAAACGGGAAGGGAAGATCTTATCCTTAACATTATACTTCACCATAGAACCACACCATACTGTGCACTACTCTATTAATGATTGTTGTGAGCGCCCGACGAGGATGTCTGATCGCAACATTTCCATTTGCAATCGCGACTTTTAATATCTCATCGTAACCTCGTACGTTTCCTTCCTGATGCCCGAAATGGAACACACGCAACGTTACGTTACGCAACGATTATCACCTCATGAACGTCACAGTAAATAAGTGCTCGTCTGCTGCGGGGAAATTTCAAGATATATCACCAACACGACGTCGAATTTATCTTCCGTATTACGCTCTGATGAACTTCAAATATTGCATAGGGACAGGGAACACTAACGATGGAAAGAGGGACCCACAACCTATTTGATTATTGACTTGTTTGTTTATTTATCTGTTTGCTAATCACAAATTACCCTTGAAAATGTTTAACCGCGTTTATCACTCAGATTATATNCAACGAAATGTGAAACCTTGTAAATAAAAGCCCTAAAAACTGCTCAATTTTCGCTAAAAAAAACTCCTACGTTTATAGTTCCTCTACGAAAAAATGGGATCCTTATGATCTAGTGAGACCCTCAGTCATTAGACTGAATCAGAGCTCAACAAAAACGGGACCGTTCGCTCTCTGCGTTGAGACTTTGTGACCGCTCTAGGAAGATGGTTTGGAACTTGCTGCTGTAGCGATTACGGTGATAAGACTTTGCAAATATAAGTCGTTCTTCCTGAGTTCTGCTAAACCCTCTGGTTCATCATATACCGATCCGTAAGGGAATTTCAGGGATTAAAGTAGTTAGCTGAATGTCAGAATCAAACCTGATACTCCCAGAGACCATAGAACATCAACCTGAGCCAGTTTACTGTCACTCATTCGGGAATGACATCAGAAAACCTTGATAACTTCAGCAGCCCTTCCTACAACTGTGCCTTACGGTCTGGGCCAAATGTCACTTAACCTTATTATTTATTATAATTATGAATTTAATCACTATCATCAATTTCCAGATCAATCAATTATGGCTCGTTCATGAAGTACAAATAAATAATAATAAGTACTCCCATTATCTCCTTGATTTATGAAGTTTTACAAATTTTCAAATCTCAGATCTTGAAGCGCCCAACATACTTATCACTTACAATTTTTTTTCAATTCACTATTTCTATGCATACTTCAATCAGTCATAGCTATCTTTATATTATATATTATTTATATTTATATTATTTATTTGATATTATTTTTATATTGACTTAATACTCGAAAAAATTGTGCCTCTGTTACCAGGTATAGTATTAGAGGTCCCACCAGTAGCACGCTCCAGCGGCTGTACGAATAACCTCCCGATCAAAGCTATAACCCTCCAAGGCGAGAGTCTACCCCTTCCCTTTCCCATTCATCCACAGACTTGTTCTTGGCTCTCGAGACGATTTCAAGTCATTCCTCGTTTCTAGAAGCCGGAGCATCGAGGTGGGCACAATAGGCGGCGCGTTTACGGACGTGGACCTGGCCGTGGTTTTTCGTTGAACGACAAGAGACGTGAAAAACGAGCGTCTTCGACTATTTGCTTGAATGAGGTGAAAGTTAGCGGACATATGAATAGCGCGCACGGAACGAACGCGTTCCGCCAGCCATACGCCGTTGTCGCCCTCCATCGTTCCGGGACCTGGACCTGGACAATCGCACCTACCACACGATCTACTGGATTATCCCTTAGCTTAACGAAATATCCTGAAACGAACTTTCACACTCTAGCAGACAAGAGGGAGGCTAAAATGGGAAGGAATTGACCCCGCACGAAAAGTACACCCCTCTCACTCGACACCGATGTATTGTTTACTTAACTTTTTGAAAAACAAACATTAACTGTTATCAGAAACTGGACGAAGTGATCACCAATGAATTCCAGATTACTGTTCTTCGATTATTCCAAAAAAATTGATATTAAAGACTATAAAAATCGATTGAATACAAGAGTTCATAGAAGCTGGCGGCTCTTATTCATCGTACTTGAGCTGTTTCTTTTATTCTATGTCTGAGAGCCCCCTATTTTTGGCCACAGGCGGTACTGCTTTCAACTTTCCAGCGTTTTCTGGTGTACCTAAGAGTAAAAAAATAAAAAGCGGTTAAGTAAAAAGCTGGTAAGTCAGTAAACTTGACTTCTTCGGCTTCAGTCTCTAAGGTTTGCCGTGCTCGAACTCAGTACGCATTGTCCATGACGACAAAAGCAAAGTGCAAGATTGTGTAAATTGAATTGGGCTGACCGCTTTGTTGGTTGTTCACCTCCGATGCACCTATTCCCAAACATTGTCAAGGGCTTCCCCAAACCCTCATCATTACAATCATATAAATAGCCCCACTACGTTCATAGCGTTTCGGTCAAACACCCGTGAACTGGGAGTAGTAGTAAGATTTCTATTAGAGGTAGTCCAGAAAGGTATAGTCCGAAAAACCTCCAAAAAATTGCTTAGCTGTACGCTAATTCCTCGTATCTCCCCAAGGCTACATAATCTGGCACTGGAGATTCCCATGCTCTCTGACACCCTTAGGAGGAACAAGGACGTTTCCCCGTGTCCACATCTCAGCAAGGAATGGACCGTTCGGGGGACAAGGCCTGTGTCGTGAGCGCACGTGTTTGCCGCCTAGCCGGCTGCGTTTGTATTGTGGACAATACGGGTCGGGGAAATCGCTTACGGATATTGTGCACCACACACGCGTGGAACCCCTATACTAAGAGTCACAGAAAGTTCTCCAAAAGTGGAAAGGGACTGTAGCTTCTTCTGCGGCCCCTAGCTCTCGCTCTACCAGAGTCAGATAAGTCTCCCACTTGATAGTATAACCTTGAACTCGTCCGTTTTCTACAAAATCCACGAGAGGGAGTTGCGGGAACCGTACGAGTTGCAGTTCGTACTACTCACTGGATGCACCTGGATTAGTTCCTGTGTCTATGAAAGTTGCCTCAGCGCATTCTCATGCTCTCCACCATCTTGAGAAGGAAAGAGTACTTTCTGTCGTGTCCAGATGACATCGACGAAAGGACCGTTGGGGGAACAACGCCTATAAATCTACTTCCCACTTATACTTCTAACAGTGTGAGCATGACAGTAACGGTCGCAGTTTTGCAAGATAACGAGTTCACAGAGTTCCTTCCTATTCCTGGAGAACTATGACCTGGTGAATGGATAACGAACGTGTTCGCCGAGGGCATTTTAATAATCTTGTTAGGAAAATATAAAAGGGATAACAGACTTGATCTATTCAGTTTTGAAGTCATCTTTTGGGCTTATCGCTTGTGTGCTTGCCTGTAGAAGCGTTTGCTCCACACAGTGTGACCTATTGAATCAGTTGATAAGTCAGTATTTCCACACCTTTATACCACTCCGGTACCATACGCCAATGGTGAACTCATGAATAGTGAGTTGAACTAATCCTAGGACTTCCCGGACTGACGATATTCTAACTTAAGAATCTTCGTTGGGAGAATATACACCGTTCACACTCTCCACACCACTCATTTACCGTCTTGCTCGATCGGACGCTGGAAAAAAATGATTCCATGGGAAGAAAACCAGAAAGAAAATTGCCAGTGAAATTCTACTTCTGTAGAACATGTTTTGTGATGTATTGAAAGGATAAGTAAATAGACAATACTCAACTAAAACTATTTGTTGTCGCAACACTTGACCGATACATAGCGGAAATGAATTACGTAGAATTGGAGGGAGCGTTTCCAGGAATCCGATTACCATCGGAACTCGTGGATAGGGGCAATTTCTGACTGCCTATACGCTTGGTGTCCAACCTTGTATAGTAGCCACAATTGGGAACTCTAATCAAGACGGCGAGCCCAGAAAGGTGTTGAACTTAGTAGTTACGCTGCCTAAAGTTTCCTCTGACACTTTCTCTGAGAGTTAGCTACAGTGCTCAATTACTTCATCTCACTATTTTGAAAGACGTAATTCAATGCCTCAAGTTACAGTCGAGTCTCATTGTGAACCAAATGGTAAAATAGTTGGAAGTTAAGATTCCACGGAATCCCCGAACCCCGAAACTCGTCCAAAAAAGCGACGTCAGCACATTTTCAAAATATGCGGTGTATTTGCGTAAATATACGAATATATCGGATACTTTCATTGAAAAGAAACACCGTCCTAATTGTTCCATGCCCACTCGAGCTGACTCATAAATCACTTTCAAGTTTGCTCCGAGCCAGTACGGTGGCTGTTTCTGGAATTGCAGGGGTATTTCCGGTCCGGGAACCGGTTGATTCGGAGGTTCGTCGTTATGTTTTCAACAACGGGCTCCGCTGTCTGGCACACCGATACCTCGGTCGAGAATTGGTTTTTCTCTTACACTCACTGAGACGGCTTTGTTGAACGCAATCGAACAGAAGCAATGTATAAATGAAGCTTTTCTTTGTGTTCAGCTCAGAAGTACCGAACAATTACCACCAGTAATAGAGCATATGCTTGAAAAATGGTGTGTAGGTAGGTCTATGGAGAAGACCACGCCAGTCTGCCACAGTAATGGTTAAACCAAGAGAGAACTGTTGTCACATACAAATGGTACTTTTACAGACACTCGTCTCATCAACCCATGGCTGTGTTCGCCACTTCTGTCCTGGCCTCCAACACGGTCCGGTGATCTTCCCACACCGATTCCAATAGCTCCATCCAATATACAACATCCTTCCTTGTTACTGACGACAGGTGAGCTGATTAGAAGAATAATGATGAATCTTAAGACATAAGTGAATCCTACATATTCCGAGATGAGCCACGCATTTGACTCCCATTCAATCATAGCGAGATTCGTAAGAGTTTTTGGTGAACAAAATGACTTTCCAACTAAGTTACATTGTCTGTTCCATTGTCTTTATCCTTCCTGCAAGCTTATAAGTGTCTAAGACATACTCCGAGAGTCGCACGAAGAACTGTTCATTTGACGATGTTGCTTGACTTTTGTCGAGATCGAGACTTTAATTTGGCAACAGAAAATGAGTGGATATATAAGAGAATCGTCTCTTAACAACCTTTGCTTTTTAAAAATTCTTCGCACTTATCGAAAACTGTCATTCATTACAGCATGTGGTCTGACTACGCAACCGATGGTTGGAGCCTCATCAGCAACAACGGCCGGTTCTTGCGGTGCCTTTCAAAAGGAAAATCTGCCGTCTACAATGCCAAGCCAATGCAAATCCGCTTTCTTTCCCCTGCCCTATATGCTGGAATCGAGACGATACAGCGAACCTGCTCCTCCGCCGGCTCATTTCCTTTCACAGCGTCGACGAAGTAAAGAAGGTAAATCCGTCATCGCCCTTTCTTTCTTCCTTCATTCCCTCTTGATCCAGTGACTATGACATTTGCTCCACGAGGAACACAAGCTGTTTTCCAAAAACTGAAGAGAAAAACTAGGTTCAGGCACTATTTCAGTTTCCGGTCAAGTCACATACTTGTGGGAATTTTTGCTCCGCCTACTTCAGGACAAGGAGTACTGCCCAAAGTTTATTAAATGGATTGATCAGTCCAAGGTAGGAAACTCTTCTTGATTTTCAAAGGTCATCATTATAAATAAGTTTAATAAAATATAACCTTTTTTCATGTTACTAAGCCTCTTAATGGGTTACCTACAAAGTTTCTGATCCAATTCGCTAATGTCTACTACCTCACGTAGTCGGAAGAAAAATCAGGAAAGAATTCAGAAAATAGATACGCAATAGGAAAATAATAAGAAAAATTCATGGCTTAACTCCACCTATTTTGCTCAGTTACTTTACCACAGTTGACCTGCACACATACAATACGATTACTACAATGTTCATGTAGGGCTGTGCCTACTAAGCACAACGTTGGATAGCACCTCCCACTGAGAAGGCTCCGCCCATACAGATGAAAGAAACAGACATCGAAAGCAGACTTCTTTCCCAGCCTTTCATTTCCTGTCATTACCTCACGTTTCTCCTTTCATCCATAATAATTGATCCTTCCGGAATGCGCAATGAACTCGACAGCCTCTTAAGGTTGTAGCTAGCAGGTGTGTGAATGGTTCATCTTAGAGGCTTTAGGGTAAAACAAATTAGATTCTAAGTCTCTCCGAAACGACTCTGAATGCTTACAACCATGAACTGGATCTATGCTGATAACATTTCAAGGAAGCAAACACAAAAAATCGAAATAGAAAGCTAGTTTTCAAAACTTTTACTTGTAATTTTTTTCTATCAGTGAACTTGGAAACTTGTAGCCCATTTTTATGACCACCGATCTCCTTTTTATTCTAACTACAACATACATTTCAGGGTGTATTCAAGCTTGTAGACTCCAAAGCAGTCTCACGACTCTGGGGTATGCACAAAAACAAGCCTGGTATGAACTACGAGACAATGGGGAGAGCTTTACGGTAGGTGCTGGTTCAGAAAACTTTACTAACGAATCACAAAGGTAGGAAATTACTGAGCAAGTCCAGTCAATGAGATATGTACTACCTAGTAGTGACAATTTGATAATAAGTATGGTGGTAAGTAAGTTCCCGTCGCTGTCCGGAAAATTTCCTGTTTATTTTCTTCATTTGTGATTGCCTCCCCTAAAATTTTATTAGGAAAGCACGCAAAATAGCCTTAATAAAGATCCAATCATTTGTTCCTGTCAGGAACTCAGCTTATGCAATGATTCACCCGTCCGTCTATGCTATCAGTACGATACTAATCCTTCCACATGACTCCAAAGCTCCGAAAAGGAAGGGAACTTATTCGACATAGATGGACTTTGATTCAAAATTAGTTCTCCGAATCATTTGTACGGCACCGTCACATCCGCCAGTCACTCCATTCCCTTTTCCAAACGTAATTATTGTTTATCAGTGAAGGAGCAGATTCCGATCTCAATCTATGTGATACCTAAGAATTGTATAAAAATTGTCAATAAACGACGGTTTACAAACATGATGAAAGTGATGATGGAAGTGCTTGCGACCTGGTTCTCATATACACTTTTAAACCCAACGAATAGGGACCACATTCGAATTTATCGAAGGATATCATAAAAAAGACTCTTTTTCCAAGTACTCGAAAAGTAACATACCTGGGAGAAAACTAATTAAGAAAACTGTTCCATGCCATGGTCCGAGCTCAATGCTTTTATTACCCAATCTTTACTGGTTGACTGGCATACGCCTTCAGGAGAAAAAAATAGCAGCTCCTCCGCCTTTTTTTCTTTCATATCAGGACAAGGACAAGAGGCACACAAATGAAAGAACCATGCAAAAAGATGAAAAAAAAANGAAAAGTACTGAATCTGCTATGACTTCCTTCAGGTATTACTATCAACGTGGTATTTTACAAAAAGTCGACGGCCAACGTCTGGTCTATCAATTTGTCGACGTGCCCAAAGATGCGCTACAGGCTCGTTGCACAATAGTTTTCCGATCAAGCCGTCGGCAACCGTAAACAGTAAACAATAACATTTGTTATAGGACTCACCATTTGATTCTGGCACCGATTCGGCTGGATCGGAAGCGTTCGAAGATCCTGATAGTCCAACAGCGCTCAGTGAAGAAATTCATATCAACTCGCCAACAAACACTGCATTACTGAAAGATCCAAAACTTGAGCAAGTCTAAGCCTGAACGACTTCCATTTTTTATTGTTATTTATATGTTACTGTTGTAATCTGTTATAACTGTTAATTGTCAGAATGAGAAGAATGGTAGGAAGAATGGTTCGCGAAGGCGAAGTTCTCTTCTCGTTTTGACTTTCAAGCGCTATTTCTTATGCCCACAGATAGCTTGTTGCAAGTACTTCTTAGTGATTTTCGAAAAAAAAAAGAGTTCCCGAATAGTACAATCCCTTTCGAGCTACCATACATACCACAATCCACAGATAGTGAGTATGCCCATGCAGCTTAGATGAAAAGCGGACAAATCGCGCCATGACTGGGCTTTTGCCATCAGTTTTCGAAACCATTTCTAAGTGTCCACAATAATTGCCCCGATGCTGCTTGTGATTCTGGAAAACAATGGATATCGAGCACAGTTGTTCCATTATGTAGTGGGCCCCAGAAACAAGGTAGTGTTCGTTAAATTCCTGCGCGCAAACGACTTTCCTCTTTCATACTTTTCGCTCTAGAGCGTCTGGGAGTAAAGAGACGAGGGGGTAGCGAAATTGAGGGAACTGTTCCCTCTAATTTGAAGTCAACTCCTCGAAACCTCCCCACTACAGTTCTTCTTAGCAGACTAGAAATTCAACCGTGTGCTTCCAGGTGCTATCGGCTTGACCGCTGAATGGGGATAAACGGTTGGAGGAATGTGGTGACCGCTGCCAAAACCAACTCCTTGTCTAGAGTAAAGTAGGTCCTGCATCCGCAGAATCTGATACAGGCAGCCGTGCTACAGAAACACAAAGCTGGCCAACGCATAATGCCCGGAAACTCTCAGGTTCCTTCAATTTCAAGACAAGGAGAAGCCTATTAGCATTCTCACTATTGCAGATGTTAGCAAAAACTCGGGCCCGTCCCAGATGTTATGTGGGGATATAAGTTAGATGCGCTAGCATTCAAAATTCCATTACAGTACAATAGCTGATCAAATTTCTCCCTTATCTCTTCTCGCTATGATCTATGGCATTGTTATATGACTTTAAGAATTTGCTGCTTTCATAATTCGTTCGCCCATTCTAGAAATAGATATTGATTAGGCGCGCGCACAATCGATATGACTTTCACATGACGCTTTGATGGACTGGGTCAGAAGTATGAAAGTAGCAGTGATTGCAATATTTCACTTCCTGGGAGACATTTCAAAAAGCAACCTAAGGGTTGATCAACGTGCTTTGGGACGTGCTGAGCATCGTCCGTCTGGTCACACCAGCTCTCCGTTAAAACGGCTTCATTTTGATATTGTTTTATTTTATTTATTTCATCATTTATCACTGTTTACTTATCAGCCGACGTGCTTTACTTGTATAGACCAACTGAATGGCATTTTTCATTTTATTATAAGTTAGGACCTATGATCCGATGTTGTGATCCGATGTGATTTTCTTTATGTTATTTCTGTGGCGGTTTCACTATTATTTATTGATTAAATATTCTTGAAAATAATTAGTGAAGGAAAGTTGTTTTAAACATGGCTATTAGACACTCAACGAAATCTATCTTTTAGTATAGGAAAGTCATAATCTCCGCAAATATTATAATGTTATAATTGTGCGCTCGAAAATAATCTGATGTGCCCACAAATGGTAAAGCAATGAACCAAAAAACAGAGAGAAATCTTAAAGGTGGTTTGCGGTCTCGTGGTAAGGGCGTCGTATGCATCACCTAAGGATTTAATCCCACATTGGTGACCGACTAGGCCAACCGACCCTTCCAGTCCCATCGGGATTCGTGATTTGGGGCCGAACTCATCTGGAAGAATAAAAGCCTTGACTTCTGCAACGGTTGGCCACGGTTTTTCCAAGAGGCCACCTACGTCTTCGAAACGACATCCATGAAAGTCTAATGGGGAACACACCTGGGAACGGAATGGTAGCCAGAAAAATTTACTTTTTTATATCGAGGTGATTTCATGGTTTCATGGTTTGGTATCAGTTTGGATGCTTGGGAAAATAAGATATGCCCACTATGTTTATCCAAACTACACTCTCTAATCTGTAAAGGTAGGTTCAGCAAGATTGAAAATGTCCACTTTGCGGGAACCCCCCCCCCCC